AAGTCAGACGCTTAACCGACTGAGCCACCCAGGCGCCCCTCCTACGGTCTTTCTCGATGAAGATGAAACCTTCGATACCCGGGAGCCCACGGCTGGCTTTTCCCACTCACCCACCAGGCAGTGGACAGACACATGCTTGGCCGTCCCCTTACACACTGCCAAGCCTGAGAATTACAAATAGAGCCCAGGCACCTGTGTGTTCAGGCCATCGGCCACAGGGGAGGGGTGGGGGGAGCACAGAAGGAGCAATTTGAGAAATTTGCAGGGATCCCAGCGAACCCCTGAAGTCTGAGATTCCCTGCCTTGGTGGAGTCATTTGTATTCGCTGGCTGGCCCCCTCCCTGCCCTGCTGTATTTAATTCTGGATATGGTATAAATAGACCTTGGCACTCTGGTAAAATACACCACCCTCCGCTTTGTTCCTTTCCTTTGGGGACAGCAACCAAATCTGAGCCTTTGAGTCCCTCTAGTGGCTCCAATCGGCAACTTGCCTGGTTGTTTCTTGGCCTGTATTTAACGTATAGTGCCTACTGTATGCACCAGATCGGTGCTGGGCTCTCTAGCTTTGCCAGGGGTGTGGGATGCTGGTTTCATTTGATCACTGTTGTGTCCAGGGGAAAGTGAGCAGGGGTAGAAGGCGGAGCTGAACTCCCTGCTGCTCTATAGGAAGTGTGCTTTCCCGGCACCGAGGGAGGATGGGTTTTGTATGGGCTATTTCTGCCTTTAAGTGATTTGTAGAGCCTCAGGGCGACTCCTTTATCCCTGGGCCTCAGTTCGCTCAGGGTGAGAGGAGTACACAGGTTAAATTCGAGTCAGTCCAACAACTATTTAGTGAGCACCTGCGATGTGAGAGACCCTGAGCCGAGTGCATTGAGAACGTAGCGGTGGATGGTACCTAACCTCAAGGAGCCTAGAGGCTAATGGGAGAACCGGGTGTCCGGGAAGCCGCATACGACACAGGGGGGACGCGGCACAGAATGGCCGTCAGGGCGTGAGCTTTGCCACGGGACAGATCTGGGGTTGAGCCCGCGATCTGGCACCTTTAGCGGCGTGACCTTGAGCAAAGTGCTGAGCTCCTCTTCCTGTTTCATCCCTAGATGCGGATAACAATGCTTTCTTCATGGGGTTGAGCGCTCAGCGTTCAGCCAAGGCACACAAATGGCGGCCACTCTCAACGCGGTTTAAGTTCTAAACAGAAAGAACAGAAACCTTACTGGGAGCGTCAGTAAGACTCCGGAAGGGGCTTATCCCGTTGGTTCTGAAGGCCCCTTCTTAGGCCCAACGGGTTTCTGTGGTCTCCTTTCTTTGCCTCCGAGCTTGGGAATCCACCTGCTGCTTCTCCAGGGTGGATGCCTCTGGGGGTCCCGCCCTGCAACGTCAAACCAGTCTGCCTCCCCGGAGAAGGAACTACAGTCTCTCCTGCCCCCTTCTTCCTTCTTTCAGGCTCTTTTCCTTCCCACAGAGTTACTGCGAATCTATCTTGGGAAATGAACACAGAATAAAAAAGGTAGCTTACATGCTTCCGTTAGTCATGATCCTTGATTCTTAGTGCTTAAAACTCTCTGAACTGGCAGAGTGAGTTCTCCCCGGGAAAGGGGACTTCGTAGAAACCCTGACGCTGGGGGCTATTGCAACTCAGAGGTTGTATGATTCTGTTACATTGTGAATGAGGCACGGGGACGTTGTAAGTGACTAGAAAGAGAAAGAGACCATTTTCACTCTGAGCTTCTTGGTCACTGTGTAAGGAGACAAAGGAGGACCTTACAGCCCACCTTAACGCCAGACACATCATACCTAGAGTCCAGGGGAAGTTCTTTAATTCTGTGGATTTAATGGCCAACAATGTCTGAGATTAATAGGAAGGAGAGAAGGTGAGCTTTGGAGCCTGGAGTTGCTGACGGAATACCGTTCCTGGAACAAGATGAAAATTAGGGGCGCCTGGGTGGCTCAGT